CTTTGAGGCGTTTTAAAATGACTTGTTGAGTCACTCCCAATGATCGTGCCAATTTTTCTTGATTTTGACACGAGTCTTGATCAAGTAATGCCTCCAATTCTGCATCTTAGAAAACCTTCTCTCTTCCACCGCTATGCCGGTCTCCGACATCAAAATCACCGTTCTTGAAACGTTGAAACCACTCACGACACGTTCTTTCGCTAATAGCGACCTCACCATAAGTATTTGAGAGCATTCGATGAGCCTCAGCCGCAGGTTTCTTCATATTGAAGCAGAAAATTAAAACCTCCCGCAAATGACGAGAATTTGGCTCGTAAACTGACATTTTCAATCGAGAATAACTTTATGATGCAGACACAAATCGACTAATGTTTCTATGGGGTTATGTTGACAGATGCCCAAGTTTATGACGTCTATGATCTATTTATTTCGACCACCACTTACCGCTAAAGCCATCTATAGGAAAACGGCGGAAGCAAAATTGTACACCTAATATAATAAAACATTGTCGTATAATAAAACATTGTCATATAATAAAATATTGTTATATGATAAAACATTGTCATATAATAAAACATTGTCATATAATAAAACTTATACGCTATCATATAACAATATTATATCGACTATGCTTATTTCTACTTTCAGCCTTTTTATTTAGGACAACAGCGGTTTAATCCAGGGCTTAAGCTTATCTAGTGACAAAATTGTATTATATGCCTTTGCCGTAAGGTTAAATCCTGGAATATCCGTTACCACGTATCTATTTTTACTTAAGACTTTAGATATCATATAAGGTCCTTTATAATTCGGTTGGAGCTTACGACTTTCTCCAGCCTTTACTTGCCTGTTACGAACCATTACACGGTCACCTTCCTTGTATTTCGACGGGGGTTTGTGTTTTCGATCGTACATGCTTTTATTATACTGCTTCAGCTTGTCGGTAGTTTCGATCGCTAAATCTCTGCTCTGGCGATCCTCGCTTCCTATGCTATCAATTTCGGCAATTTTGTTAACCAGTTGAGTGAGATCCGCATCTTTATGGTTCCTTTGCTCATACCCCAAGAGAAGCTTGGAAGGGATCGCTTTAGTTGACGTATTAAACGTATTATTCACCACATACTGTAAATGATCTAAATAGGATCTCCACTCTTTAGAATCTTCTGTCTGCCGTACTAAACACGATTTTAGAAAACAGTTCGCGCGTTCTACGAGACCATTTGCCCATAGTGAGGCTACCGCTAACTTATAATGCTTAATATTCTGAATATTTACAAAATCCGCAAACTCCTGCGACGTGAACGCTATGCCTCGGTCCGAAACAATTTTCTCTGGCACTCCAAATACATTAAAAAGGAAACTTAAAACATTACATGTTTCCCTAGATGTCGTCGAACGCGTAGCAAAATACCAAGTATATCGTGTTATTGCATTAACGATTACTAGTATATATTTCGAACCGTCGATCACTTGTGGCAACGGCCCAAAATAATCTATGTATAACATTTCAAATGATTTCGTCAGTGTTTCCACAATTTCCATCTCCCCTTCGCGTGCATTCGCGGATGAAGTAACAATCAAACACGTTATACAATTATCGATGTAATCGCGTATTTTCTTTCGCATTGAAGGAAACCAATACGCGCAGTAAATACCTTCGAACGTTTCCTTCAATCCGCAATGCGCCATATCATCATGGTGATATCTGATGATGAAGTTGATCATGGAATCTGGAACCACAAAACGATCACGTTCAATGTTCTTCTTATATACCAGCCCATCAATCAATTTAAATTTTGCGTCCTCCCGATATTCAAGGTTATTTGCTATTTCCGCCAGCCTCGCGTCCTGAAGCTGCCTAAACTCAATCTCACGCTCCAACGGTAAACACTCAACGTATGCTATTCCTCTACTAAGCGCATCGACATGAGCCATCTTTACTCCGACTCTATGTATTACCTTAAAGCGATAATCTTGCAAAGCCAAAATCCACTTCGCTACTCGCGGATTTAAATTCGCCTTGTTCACCGCATGCACTAACGCATTACAATCCGTGATAACCTTAAACTCTAATTCGTACAAATAAATGTAAAATCTAGCAATTGCTCTAAATACAGCCAACATTTCTAGCTCATAACTATGATAATTAACTTCTGCTTTGTTCGTAGCCTGACTATAGTATGCGACCGGCGCCCATTGCCCAGAATTCTGTTTCTGGAGCAATATGCCCGCCAATCCTGCTGCACTCGCACCGGTGTGCAATTCCGTCTCCAATTTAGGATTATACAGCCTTAACACCGGGTAGGAAATCAACTTTTTCTTTAGCATGTCAAATGCCTCATCGCAACTCTCGTTAAATACGAATTCGGATGACTTCTTAAGCAAATTATATAAAGGTATTGCCAATGATGAGAAATCTTTAATGAAACGTCTAAAGTAACTCGCTAGCTCCAGAAACCGTTGAACTTCATGTCCATTTTTCGGACGAGGAAATTTCTCAATCGCCTCAGTGTGTCTCGTACTTAAGGTTATTCCTTCACTAGATATACTGTAACTGAGATATTCAATCTTTCTCCTAAGAAACTGACACTTTTTATAATTAAGCTCGAACCCGTAACTTTTCAGAATCAATAGTACTTGCTTAATCACCTCGATATTCGAATCTACGGTCTGAGTAGAAATCAAAATACCACCTATGTATATTATTACTTTGTCCTCTCTAATTAATGGTTGTAAGATCTGAATTAAACGTTTTTGAAATTCAGCCGGAGACTCACAAAACCCAAACGGAAGACACGTATATTCGTACTGACCATCCGGGGTCGCAAACGAGAAATATTTAGTATCAGACGAATGCACCTTTATTTGATGGAAACCATCCCTTAAATCTAATAAAGTAAACACGCAATGATTTCCTAGCCGGGCTAAACAATCCTTGATCAGAAGGAACGGAAACTTTTGTTTCGCCACTCTCTCGTTCAGAGGCCTGAAGTCAACACAAAGACGCAGACTACCGTCCTTCTTGCGCACTGGCACTATCCTCGCACAATATTGTGATGTGCTCGGTTTGACAATTTTCCTCGCTATTAGATCATCTATGATGTCGCGAATCTGTTTTCTCTTTTGAAACGCGAACTTTCTCGGCGCATATGCGTAAATCGAATGGTCTACTAAATTCACACGCACCGCGTAATTGTCTTCCGCGATAGGACATTCAAACTTTTCAACCTCTTCGAATACTTTAACCAATTTATTCTTGACTCCCGAACCGAAATCTATCACAGCATCTTCCACCGGATTAACATTCGACACCGCATAAATATCCGCCCGTGGAAATTCTCCAAAACAGTTATCTTTCAACTCCGATGACAACTCAAATGATAACGTTAATTTATCCATTAGAAAATCGCGACCTAATATTACATCATATTCAAAATCATTTGACTTTAACACGTTAAAATCGACAGTCAATAACAACTCGAATGTCAGACTTAATCGAATGCTCATTCTCATCACACCTAACACGTCTATCGCGTGACTCGACAAAGTATTAAAACGACGTACATCTCGATCTTCTTCTAATCTACTATCTTGTACCAATTTTCCGCATAATGAACTTTTAATAAATGATACCGGACTACCCGTATCTAACAACGCTTTCAAATTACAACGCATACCGCTTATTTCTACAACCACTAGATAAGGATCACTTATCGGTATTTTCCATTGTTGGGAGATTGCTAAGACGGATGACACCTGGTCCATTGCCGAAGTCCCATCTCCGACGCTTGATCGCTCCGTCTGCCGAACCTGCGTTATTGCCACTGACGTAGTCGGATTTCGCATTGACGCTGTCTGATCACGTCTTTTTGACTTAGGACACTCAAACGACCGATGACCTGTCTCTTTACAGAAGAAACACATTACTTGAGCCGATCGACAATATGTATGATGATGCCCCTTTTTGCCACAGTTCTTACACAATCTGACTCTCCATCGGTCCGCCTGTCTTGCGCCTGATGGCCCCTTGCCTGACGGCGCAGACGATTTCTCATCGTGACACACCGTGGCAACTAATTGGCACCTATATTCTATAAATTGATCCACTGAATCCATGCGGATCGTCGCAGCTATCGCTTTCAACGCTTCACTTATGATTCCTCCAATAAGCAGATTGATCGCATCTTGTACTGAAAGATTCAAACTGTATATTATGGACATCTTGTCTATAGCGTATTCTTGAAACAGCTCCTTAGTCTGTTGCCATTTCCTCGCTTCGACTTTTTGCATCGTCGCTAGGAAAGGAATGCGACAGTCGAACATCCTGATTAAACTGTATCTCAGACTTGTCCATGACTCCAGAACGGCGCCCGTTTGCGAATCATACCATTTTCTCGCAATTTTTGTGAATTTACTAGAAGCTGCTAACATCGTTATATTCTCCGTAGTTCGATGAGCTCTCGCCATTTGCTCCACTCGTTGTATCCACCATCTCACGTTTTTGGAAGGCTCCCCCGAAAACTCTGGAATTTGTAAGGTCAACAATGTTACCGCATTTGCCGTCGAACTTGAACTCGTTGCGGATCTTTCACTCGTTGCCAGTGAGTGAGATACCGGCGAAAAATCCCTTTGAGGTCTAGGAGGCTGTTGTAAATTAACAATATTTTGGTTCACTGCACTTATCAATTGCATCTGATCCATCGTCTGGGCCAACATCGCCACTACGTCCGGTTGTGCAGGATTAATTTCAGTAGGCCTCTCAACTTTAATCAATGACTCCGCATGCTCCTCTTGTATCATCCGTGCTGCAGGTACATTAAAATTTTGAACGAAGTCCTGTACCGGGCCGTGACTTTCAAGAGGTGCTGCTATTATCTCTATCAACACATATCTCCTTTCTGAGAGAGGTAAACCGTATCGCAAAGCCTCAGCTTTCAATTGGTCCAAGGGCAAATCTTTCAATCGTTGTTTTTCCATCCTTGTCCGTGCTCTAGTTGCCCTCATGGATCAACACTTAATCACTTTATCTTCGGAGAAACACCTTTGTCTCTAACGTTCGCTATTTGCTTACTTGAACAGGTAACCTTCCCTTGTTCAACTTGTTGCTTACGTGGAGACTCGAACCGTACTCAAACCACTCGAACTCAGGAAAACCGTTAATCGCACGAATTCACTATTGTCCAGATAGACCGTTAATCGAACAAGTCCGCTAATGTTCATGGATCCACCAATTCTCACGGATCCTCCAATGCTCACGAATCCACTAATCTACGCAGATTCAGTAATGCTCACGCAGATCCACTAATCCCACTTCTGAGAAATTAAGTCTGTAAGAAATAAACTCTGTGGTTACATGAGAACACAATAACAACAGTTTATTCAATTTACTTCGAATCAGTTCTAACCACGTGTCTCCTTCGGATCAGGAAGCCACGATCGATCAATCGAGATCTAACCGTCACAGTTCGTACACGCGCACACACAACGAAAAGATTTAAGCCGGTATTCATAGTCGAATCTTATTTCAAGATCGTCTTAAGTAATGTCTTAAGATGCGAATACGGCTCTGTGATTGGTTCATGACATCTTAAGACAGTACTTAAGTTGATCTTAAATATAAAATCTGACTATGAATACCGGTCTTAAGGCCATAACACACAAAATTACATAGACGCATATGCATAGCATAAGATAGTATGGACCAATGAGCACCGAATATTAAGTATCAATCATCAATATGGCGACTTAATATTCAATGCTCATTGGTCCATATGATCTTATGCTATGCATATGCGTCTATGTAATTTTGTGTGTGATGGCCCTTAGGGCTATCGCACACAAATTGACATAACTGCATATGCATAGCATAAGATCGTATGGACCAATGAGCATCGAATATTAAGCATCGAACACCAATATGGCGACTTAATACTCGATGCTCATTGGTACATACGGTCTTATGCTATGCATATGCAGTTATGTCAATTTGTGTGCGATAGCCTTTAGACTCTCTCAAAGAATCAGATGCTCTACCACGCCGATGATGCCGAGGTCTAAGATTTGTTCGTATCGCATGCCCCAACGTGCTCCTACTCGCTCCAACGTATTCTGATTGGTCCGCGTGGTGATGTAAGCCAATCAGAGTGCGTTGGAGCGAGTAGGAGCACGTTGGGGCATGCGACGCGAACAAACCTCTAATTAACTCGCGGTTCTTATCTTCTACCTCATACCACACCGCTACGTTCGAGGTTCTCTCCTTGATTTTTTACGCACCCTCTTTGTTCTTTCCCCCCCCTCTCTCTCTCTCTCTCTCTCTCTCTCTCTCTCTCTTTGTGTAT